CAGGGCCCAAACCCACAAACTTCCAATCCACAGGCGAGCGACTATCCGCTACACCACAGCGACCCATTATAGTACTGAAATAGTTATCTATTAGTGGTTTAGAACTTTTGGTTACCATTGAAGGAGGGAATTAACTGTGGGTAATTACAGTTGAAATATGATTTAGTTTTTTTTAATATCTGTGTATGAAAAATTTGCTAAGTTTATTTAAGGGATAAATTTAAAAATTGAATTGCGAGATTCAATTCTGCAATTAAATTTTCAATTTCCAAATTTCAAACAACAATCACACATCAAACAGTTCATTTACTCAAGTCATGGAAATGTTATAGCCTGCAGACAATGTGGTTTCTCATGTCAGATGTAGCTTTTTACTACTACCGCACAATGAACACCACATGGTATGAGAGGATAAAGACAAGATGATGAAACTGTTTATGAACGTTGTGGCGATGATAATGGTGCTGATGATGAGATAACTGAAAGATTAAATGTGGGAGTTTCTTCAGGCAATGAAAGACCAGTCATGGAATTTTCTAGGCAGCCAAAAAATATTCATTATTTTCTTTCAAACAGGACTTCAGATAATTATGCCATTTCATTAATGGCATTATGTTAACAAGAGCAGTTAGAATATCCCAAAATATTTGTAAAGCTACAAACACACATGTTTAATTAAATAAACATACTTAATAAGATCTGAGATTTAGAAACAGAGCACTTGTCATGTGGGATTTAGAAAGGGACAGAGGAATTGTAAAGATGGCAAGTGAGATTTGGAAGCAGACAGAGGAATTGTAAAGATGGCAGGTGAAATTTGGAAGCAGACAGAGGAATTGTAAAGATGGCAAGTGAGATTTGACAAGGGACAGAGGAATTGTAAAGATGGCAAGTGAGATTTGGAAACAGACAGAGGAATTGTAAAGATGGCAGGTGAGATTTGGAAACAGACAGAGGAACTGTGAAGATGGCAGGTGAAATTTGGACACAGGAAATGTAAAGATGGCAAGTGACATTTGGAAGCAGACAGAGGAACTGTAAGGATGGCAAGTGACATTTGGAAGCAGACAGAGGAATTGTAAAGATGGCAAGTGACATTTGGAAGCAGACAGAGGAACTGTAAAGATGGCAGGTGAAATTTGGACACAGGAAATGTAAAGATGGCAGGTGAGATTTGGAAGCAGACAGAGGAAATGTAAAGATGGCAAGTGACATTTGGAAGCAAACAGAGGAACTGTAAAGATGGCAGGTGAAATTTGGAAGCAGACAGAGGAACTGTAAAGATGGCAAGTGACATTTGGAAGCAGACAGAGGAACTGTAAAGATGGCAGGTGAAATTTGGACACAGGAAATGTAAAGATGGCAGGTGAGATTTGCAAACGGACAGAGGAAATGCATCTTATAGTGAGCACGCCAATGTGTGAACGATTACAAGAATGGATGGGTTGGCCATGTATGCAAAAGCATACAGAAACCCCAGACACCGGTTTTACAGATTTAACATAATGAAAACAGATCAAAGATCAATGCAGAACTAACTAAACAATTCAAAGTAGACTGCAACTAACATACCAATGCAGACTGCAAGAAAATAGTTCAATTAATGACCGCAACTAAAAAGAACAATGTAGATTGCAACGAAATATTTCAATGTCGACTGCAATTAAACAGATCAATGCAGATTTTTTTTTTTTAAACTGTCTGAAAAATGACTGCACCTAAAAAAAATTACAGTGTATCAATGCAGATCACACAAAAATAGTTCAATCAATGACCACAACTAAAAAAAAATTAATGTACACTATAACTAAACAGATCAATGTAAACTGCAACTTAAAAGTTAAATTAATGTTGGTCAAAAAAAAATACATCAATGGCATTATGACTGAAGATCAATGCAAGCAAGTTAAAAAATCCTTCTGTGTTAGACTGATGTTTGTACAGACCAATCTGCAAGTGGCGAGTGATGTGGCCAACATCCAGCTGGCGCTTTTACTTCATAGCAAATGACCTGGTACTATTTTCAGTATGGGACATCCTGAAAGCTAAAGTCAACCCTTTTTACAAATCCGCCTAGATCCAAAACCAAGACCTTTGGACCTGCAGGCAAGCAAAGCTGATCAACGCAGATCACAACTAAATAGATCCCTGTAGAACACAAGTCAACAGATCACCAGATTGCAACTAAAAATACCACTTCTAATCGCAACTGATGACTGTAGATCACAACTTAAGGACCAACAATCCTTGAACACACTGTAATCACACAATAAAAGATCAATTTATATTACAAAACAACAAACCAATGCAGGTCACAACTCAGCAACAGATTTAAGATCACACATTCTAATAGATCGTAAATTTCACTCAAACAGATAAGATCACACAGATAAAAAAGTCAATATAGAGATTGCAAACAGATAAAAGATCTGTATACTGTAGTTAAACAGATAAAAGATCAATACAAATTACAACCAAACAGATAATAAATCTACACAGATGGCAGCTTGAGATAAAGGAAACTAAACACGGCAGCAAAACAGATTTAAACAAAAACACAGACCGCGATGAAACATATAGAAACAACAAAGTTTGCAAACAGATAAAAGAACAACACAGACTGCAGTTAAATAGATAAAAAGATCTATATAGACAGCAGTCAAGTGGTTAAAAGATCTGCAGCTAAAAAAAAAAACAGATCAACACAGATGGTAGCGAAACATAAAGAAAAACAATAAAATGTTAGCAGAAGAGAGAAAAATAACAAAATGGTAGCTAAAAACAAATCAAAGAAAGACTCCCAAATACAACATATCAGGGCAAATCTTTTGGCCAAGAGAAACATTGGTGCAAGTCAAACTTTACGGGTCGCTGAGTGAATTATAAAAGACAGTGAAGTTCATACTAGAGACAACACTGCAGATATAGATAATCTATTTCAAGCAAACAAAAGAAGAAGAAGATCAAAGAAAAAAGTAAAACCAAACAGATTAAATATAAACAAATAAGTTTAGAATAATCTTGAATAAAAAGTGGCAGCCACATATACAAATGATTACCAATGTACAATCTTTTCTCATACAGACGCAAAACAAATTATATAACTCATTTTTTTTAAACTGAAAACAAAAAAAAATACTACTGAAATGAACATTTTCTCATAATTCTGACATTCAAAATCTGTGTAATTTAATGAGTGAAACTGTTTTAACTGGACACACGAACACTTTAGGGCCTAATCAATCAATGACAGTCCTTTCAAATATGAGTCACTGACAGTTTTTAAGAGATAACAGCTTCCCATCATCAAACATGAATGTGCCACTGCATAACTAAAGGTTTCTTCTCCCCCCCCCCCCCCCCCCCCCTCCAAAACAGATTTTTTTCCAAGCCATGTTTAAATTAATTATCCTGTCTACGAACAAGACCTGTAATTCCCGCCGCACCATATTACACATAAATATATGTGCAGAATTAGCAGTGGGCGGCTGAGGAGTTAGAATACAAGCATCACAAATTGGGCTGCCGGGAATTGTTCCCAAAGGCAAAAGATTTGCAATCTATCAGAGCCAAACACAGGAATACTTACATCTAACTACTGTGCGGCAACTGCTATGACAAGCCACCTTAACAGTAGATAATATTGTAAAAAGTGTTGCATCTATGGATTAGGGGTTTGTAAATGCAGTTTCACCATCACAGCCTAGTGGGGTTTCAAGTCTGCTGCAGGCGATTCGGAAAAATGTCAAGTAAAGGAGAATTCTCCACTCATTCAGGCATAATTTTATAGACCAATCGGCATGGGATGTCAACATCAAACTGGCTGTCTTCACTTCCCTTCCCAGGACTGTACCTGGCATACATTTGAGTCTGGGTCGACTTTAGGCTTCCGGTGCACAAGCCAATGCCTAGCCGCTACACCATAGTGGCTCCCAGGCGATTGGGTGGCTAGCTGTTTTGTGCTGATTTCATGAGCATTGTACGTTTAGAAATTGGCTGTCGACCAATCAATGGCTCTGTTTTTCTCTTCCGCTCTGGGACCTAAATGTTTACCACATTATCTTGAGATTTTTTAAAATCTCCATCCCAAAGACTTCCCCTATTTAAATGTTAGGATGATGTCCACTGAAAATTAGGTCCTAAAGCATTATTTAAAGCACGTGACTTTTTTTTGCGGCGGGGGGGGGGGGGGGGGGGGGGGGGGGGGGGGGGGTGTACACAGTATATGCTGTAATGATAGTTTTATATTTAAACCAGCACACACAAACACATGATGCATCAAATATAATATATCTAAGTGATCTCAATGTTAATGTGATGTCCCCTAAAAATAAATCAAAATACATTTTTCAAAGCAAAAGTAATATAAGACCCAGTCTTACTGTTGGCAGAACGCTGTATATGCTATAATGATAGTTTTACATTTCAATCAACACACACCCCCACATGATCCATCAAATATACCAGGGCTCTGAATGTTACGATGATATCCTTAGCAAGTAAGCTCCAGTGCATTTTTTTAAGCAAAAATGTATCTTCTTCTTCCTCAGCATTCCGAGCCCTTTCCATTCATCTATCTGGTTGGCCTTTCTTTTTCCAGTTGGTGACACCAAGTGTTTGCAGGTCTGTCTGGATATTATCTCTCCATCTTCTTCTTGGTCTACGACCATTCATTTCCCTCATGTATACAGTTTTTACTTCTCTGTCATCTGACATTCTTTCCACATGCCCCAAACATTTCAGTCTATTAGCTATCATAATGCCAGTGATCAAAAATGTATTTGTGACTTATTTTTTTGAGGAAACAGTAGATGATGTATATTTAAACCAACACACACCCACATATGATCCATCAACTAAATAAGTGACTTGAATGTTATAATGACATGCTCCACAACCTATGCCCTCACATTGGGTACAACCTAAGCTCAAATATTTCCAGAAGGAAGAGGAAAAAAAAAAAAGCAACAACAACTCTGTAGTTAATTATACAGCATCAGTTACAGGATCTCGATCCATCGGACCAATCGTCTGTTGACAAGCGCTCGGTTGATTAAAACAGCCTGTTGATGAGACAGAATTTAAAAAAAAATTAAAATTTGCAAAAACGTAAAAGATTTCAATTCAAACATGTGGGGGGCTTCATGGTGAAATGGTCAAGCCGTTTGCCTCGCGCTCTGAAGTTTGTTTCACGCCCGGTGACGTTAAGCTCATAGGTGCAATTTTTTTATGGAGATCCCCAGGGATCATAGTCAGAGCTATGGAGGTCGTGCTCCGTGTGCCGCTCTCGGCAGGCATTTAACTGTTCTGCAGAGAGACTGGGTCACATAAGATAAAAACCTGTGCAATGAAGTCGATCATCTCACTTTTGCTTTCAGATCATGCAACGAGGTGCTTCGCATGCTCTCCACGTATATAGCGAGACAGGCAGGAAACCCGGGCACCAAGTAACCGCAAGAGATACTTGAGGCCAGTTGAGTAGACATGGGCAGGTACGAGCTAGACTCGTGGTCAGTCGCATCAGAGAATTCAAGGAAGTCAGGTGTCTTATTACAAGATGTAGTAGTTTAATTCAAGGAGACAGTTCAAATGTTGTGTGGATGACTAGTGTTAATAGTCAGTTGGAAGATATGGATGTGTGAACAATCATCAGCATGTATCATAGAATGTGTAAGAATAAACTGATAGCTGGTACAATGGAAACCGAGCGTGTTATAATCCCTAGATGGTAGAACGAGTGCAAGACCCAGGTAAATACAACAATCTCACAAGCAGAGCTGTGGCAATAAGCAATAGTGCAAACAACTTTATTACACATCAGAACTGTTTTCTTCTTCCTCAGTGAAGCACAGCCCTTCAACCCTCTTCTTCTTCTTCTACTTCTTCTCCATCTCCTTCTTCACATTCACTGTAAACTTCTGCAGTAAGTTCTGGCTGTGTGTCCCCTTCTGAACTTTCACCTTGTTCCAGGACTTGTGTTTTGTGTGCATCTGTCTAATAGTTAGTTGTGTGTCCTTCACAGCACATTGTAGAACCAACCCAAGCATTGGGGAGGGGAGGGGCCTCTGTTGTGGTTTTTCTAGGCAAATTTTACATTCAGTGGTTTGCCACTGCTTTCTGAACAGCAGCTCTCGGTACCACTGTCAAAACCAATGCAAGACATTCTGCTATAAAACTGCCCGCAGACAGAAATTGAACCTGGATTCCCACCATTACAAAGCACATTTGCAACGTCTAAGCCACAGACGCTGCTGCCCTCTCTAACAGATCTGCCTTATTTGTGTGCGGACTCTTGGTTCCTCGTCTTTCAGACTAATGCACTACTCCAACCCTCAAGATAATCCTAATCCTATCTACATTGGTTGGAAACCTATTTCTAGAAATGAAAGCATGTTTCTAGAATGACTGCAGACAAGTATAAACTCTAAGCTTGCGATTATCCAGACTCCACATTATCCGTCCTAGTTTTTTTTCGTAAGAGTCGGCTGACTGAGGGCTTTGATCAAAGTTGGAGTGCATCTGCCTGAGAGGCAAGGAACCAATAATCTACAAACACAGTCAGATCTGTAAAACTGATGTGCATGCAACAGTCAGGTTCAGGAATGAGTCTAAAAGTCCAGAGGTGGATGAACAACTGGAGGTGGACGAGCAACCCTAATTTTTCGCTGCAGTTTACAACCTGTGAATGCAAAGAAGAATGCTGAATTAAGAATCGACGTCACAGCACTCAGGACACCCCCATATGCGCTCCGTCCCCATCTTCAGCAGCAAGTGAAGAGTTAAAATTCTGATGGTACCAGTAACTGTCTGATTGTATATCCGCCTCGCCTTTCCCCTGAGTGTCTAGCGTCGGCCAGATCCCCTTGTAACTCCTGGCAGTGCCATTCTCCTCAGACCGTAATGATCTATCTGTTCCTCTGCACTGTTCACTCGCTCCCAAAGGACCCTCACATCGTCAGCTTGTCATACATCAGTTCACCACCAAGTGGTGCTAAACCGGCCAGTCTATCTGCCTGCTTATTTCCCAACATACCGGCATGACCTGGAGAAAATATCCAAAGGATGCTAACTACCTGGGACCTCTGAAGTGATGCTTGCCACTCTGCATGGAGCATGCCTGTCTCCACCTTTCTTAGCAGGCTCTGTGAGTCAGTTACAAGGACGGCATGTGTGTACAGCTGATTCTTAAGCCAGCGGAAGGCAGCATTCTGCACCAAGTGACGTCTATTCGTCTTCGCTATGAACCCTTATGCACTTCCTCTGCCCCTCAACACAGAGCCATCTGTATATATAATCACATCACTTGGGCGGGAATTATCATGAATCATTTGTTGAACTTCTGATTCTGCAGCACCAGCTGGCCAGTCCCTGCACTCACGTCCCAAAGTGATTAGAATCCTACACAAATCTGAAACCTGATCGGGCACTTTGACCCACTCCTCTCCTCGCCTAAATTTATCAAGCCTGCACACATGTCCAAATGTGTCTTCAGCTTGCGCTATCCAAGACTTTCCTCTTTTCAGTCTGTGACCCTTAGCTCTATCCAGGGCTTCATGCAGGAGGTGCCTCTTGTCCGCAGCTACTCTGAGATATGACTTTGCTTGCAGAACTTTGAGCCTAGCTGCAATAGTAGGCAGTGCAAGTATATATCGCATACATACTACCAGGGTATCTCCTTATACATCCCAGAATTACAAAGAAGAAGAGTTTAAGGTTAGTTGCGTATCCTTTACAGGACATTGCAGAACTAACCCCAGCAGCCCCTGGCTGTTGTGTGGTTTCTCTAGGCAAATTTACATCCAGTAATTTGCCATTGCTTTCTGGACGGTCGGCCCCCTGATACCACTGTCGAAACCAACGCAAGGCGCATGGCCCGCAACTGGGATCGAACCCAGCACCCCGGCATTACGAAGCATTCGCATCGACTTAGCCACAGAGCCGACAAGAAGAGTTTACAGCCAGTGAATGCAAAGAAGAAGAAGAAGATCTGCCTTGGTTGACAAAGCTTCACACGTCTCCTGGCAAATACTCATCCCACATTCATTGGACAAACTGTACTTACACTATTTCTCTCAGTGTTAACCTGGTACAGGTGGATGTAAGGGATCCCGTACTCTGTCCTAGCCACAACCTGACACTGCAGCAGCTTGCCTTGGGTCAGGTCACACAGAGCCTGAGTTGCTTCGTCGCTGAACAATTTCTCACCTGCATACGAATACAATCATTTTTCTCTCAGATTAGCTTGGGTGGGGAAGGTTAAAACTTTTATAATAAATAAAATTATGTTGTCCATTGTGTGGATTGCCTGCATCAATACATGTCTCTTTCAGATATAAAGAATCAACGATTTCTAATAAATAACTATGTTGTCCATTGTGTGGGTTGCCTGCAGGAATACATTTCTCTTTGAGATATAAAGAATCAATGATTTCTAATAAATGAAAATTATGTTGTCCATTGTGTGGGTTGCCTGCATCAAGACATGTCTCTTTCAGATAAACAATAAATGATTTCTACTAAAAACAATTTTGAAATCTCTTGTGTGGGCTCCGCTGGGTGTAGCGGGTAAACACTTGCCTGTGGACCTGAAGGTCGTGGATTGAAATCCACATGGTGCCAGATTTTTTCAAAACATGACTTTGGCCCCCAGTTTGATCCAGCCTTAAATGGATACGAGGTGAAGTTCTGGAAGTAAAGGTGGTCGGCCACCAAGTGCTGATAAAATTATGAGTCTAGCCTTAAACTGCTGATGCAGCAATGGCGTGTAAAGGGACTTTAACTTACTTGACTTGTGTGTGTGTCACCTGTATGTGTCATCTGTGTATGAGTCACTTGTGTGTGAGTCACCTGTGAGTGTCATCTGTATGTGTCACCTGTGTGTGAGTCACTTGTGTGTGAGTCACTTGTGTGTGAGTCACCTGTGTGTGTCATCTGTGTGTGTGTCACCTGTGTGTGAGTCCCCTGTGTGTGTCATCTGTATGTGTCACCTGTGTGTGAGTCATCTGTGTGTGAGTCACCTGTGTGTGTCACCTGTGTGAGTCACCTGTATGTGAGTCACCTGTGTGTGAGTCATCCTCATGAAAACAATCATTTCTCTCCAAAAAATGTTTTTTTTTTAAAGAATGAAACATGTCGAATAAATAAAATTATCTCGTCCCTTGTGCGGGTTCAGGGGCCCCTATTTGGGAGAGAGTGAGGGAGAAGGCAGAGGGCCCTCTGCCTGCCCAATGCACATGTTGGCAGAGGCATAACTAGTGATTTGCTGAAATATTATGTGTTGAGCCTCAAGGCAGTTAGCGCCGAGCTGTATACCACAACTTAATGTGCTAACCACCCTTTTGAGGGTGAGTGAAGAAAAAATCATGTTGACTCTGTACCAGTGGAAGTCTCAATGAACACCTCTACATAACAGAAGCCACTCTGAATGACAAGAAGTCTCCCCTTGTTTGGGTTCAGGGGCTTCCTTGTGGAGGAAAAACAAGAACACATCCACTGCCTCCCCAACAAGCCTGTTGTAGGAGTCGACTTATTGAAGTCATCCTTCGAAGTCCGAGTGCATCTGCTTGAGAGGCAAGGAACCATGAGCCTGCCTACAAACAAGCCAGATCTGTGAAAAATGAGCGACATGCAACACTCAGGTTCTGAAACAAGACTAAAATCGGGAGATAGACGTTCACCCAGAACCTTCCATCAGAGTTTACAACCGGTGAATGCGAAAAAGACGAAGAATGACAAGAAGTGACCCTGCATTAATGGAAACCCCCTTGGATGATAAAACTGGACCATTAGCAACAGAAGGCTCACTGGTTAGTAATCAGCTGTACACTAAAAGAAAGAGGACAAAGATATTAACTAAACACAGAGAGACAGAGTGAAAGAAATTATAAACAGGGATACATAAAGGGTAGGAAAGAAAAAGATGGGGAAAACAGAGATGGGGGAGGAAAGAGTTAAAGATGGATAAGACTAATCTATGAGATATGGAGAGATTAGTGGGAGAACGGCATTAAGTCACAGAGAGGCACATATGGAGAGATTAGTGGGAGAACGGCATTAAGTCACAGAGAGAGGCACATATGGAGAGATTAGTGGGAGAACGGCATTAAGTCACAGAGAGAGGCACACATGGAGAGATTAGTGGGAGAACGGCATTAAGTCACAGAGAGAGGCACATATGGAGAGATTAGTGGGAGAACGGCATTAAGTCACAGAGAGAGGCACATATGGAGAGATTAGTGGGAGAACGGCATTAAGTCACAGAGAGAGGCACATATGGAGAGATTAGTGGGAGAACGGCATTAAGTCACAGAGAGAAGCACATATGGAGAGATTAGTGGGAGAACGGCATTAAGTCACAGAGAGAGGCACATATGGAGAGATTAGTGGGAGAACGGCATTAAGTCACAGAGAGAGGCACATATGGAGAGATTAGTGGGAGAACGGCATTAAGTCACAGAGAGAGGCACATATGGAGAGATTAGTGGGAGAACGGCATTAAGTCACAGAGAGAGGCACATATGGAGAGATTAGTGGGAGAACGGCATTAAGTCACAGAGAGAGGCACATATGGAGAGATTAGTGGGAGAACGGCATTAAGTCACAGAGAGAGGCACATATGGAGAGATTAGTGGGAGAACGGCATTAAGTCACAGAGAGAGGCACATATGGAGAGATTAGTGGGAGAACAGCATTAAGTCACAGAGAGAGGCACATATGGAGAGATTAGTGGGAGAACGGCATTAAGTCACAGAGAGAGGCACATATGGAGAGATTAGTGGGAGAACGGCATTAAGTCACAGAGAGAGGCACATATGGAGAGATTAGTGGGAGAACGGCATTAAGTCACAGAGAGAGGCACACATGGACAGAAAGACATAGAGAAACAGGCAGTGAGAAGGACAAAAAAAAGACAAAGGCAGCAAGTGTGAGAAACAGATAGACAGACAGATAGCCAGCCAAACACAGATAGGCAGACAGCCAGCCAAACAGACAGACAGAGGCAGATGGTGAGAAAGATGGAAATACAGACAGTGACTGGGAGACAGACAGTGAAAGAGATAGAAGCAGAGAGACAGACAGTGAATGAACAACAAAACTCTATATAAAGAGGGTTACAAAATGGGCAAGCAGGGCCGTTTTACACTGAGCCCTTTCAAGCACTCATCTTTCATATGGCAAACATATTTTATATATCAAGCATATTATGTTCATGTCTCTAATATTTTAAAAGACAGTCACAGATCAAGAGACAGACAGTTGGAAAGACAAGTAACAGACATGCACGTGGGAAATACACATTCTTCACACTGACGACTCACCCTGGTTTGGTGTTATGTTAGCCATGAAACACTCCACCGCTTGAAACGGCAGGTTCATGAAATCAACCCTGCAAATTAAATTGGCAAGCCTGTTAAGTAAAGGACCCACTTCAACAACCTTATTACTGGTCAAATAGTAAAGAGCCATTTTCCACGCCCCATGGAGTATAATAGGAATAGGCCTATATTTTATAGACCAATCGGTGCTTGGTGGGTGATGTGATCGACAGGAGACCGCTTTGTGCTAATTTTGACAATGGTATTGACAACTGACTGTTCAAGAAGCAACGGCAAACTACTGAACGATAAAAGTGTCTAGAAACTTATAGACAGCCAAACAATGCTGGAGTTGATAAAATAGGTGGGAAACCCAATCCCACAGAAAGCAGGCTGGTATCTTACCTTCTAACCGCTCTATTTAATTCACAATAAACATCATAAACTCATTAAACACCAAACATATGAGTAGTCACTTTACATTTGCTTGCCGGGGGCTGAAGGTCAAGGATTCAAATCCACACTGAGGCTGATGTAATTGAACTTGGCCTCTCACGTCGACCCAGCCCAGAATTGGTACCAGGTAACATCCTAGGTAATGAAGGTGGCCATGGTGATGTCAACCACATCAACCAACAAATGCTGATTAGTCTAAACAAATTTAGGTCTGAATGACTGACTTTCTACTCCACCAGGACATCAAACAAGCAATAAACACCCGATGACACAAAGTGCCACCATGCGGATGAGGATCACCGTGGAGAGGTCCCAGAAACCGCGTTCAGACAATTGGCCATATTGATGGCCTGCCTATATTGCGGCCCCTGGCAAAAGCCAGAGTGGGGCTACAAATAACAAAAAATTACGTCCTAAGAATACGTAAGGGATGTAATAATTTAGGTCTAGCACCATACGCCAGATGTACCCAAGATTTGAAAGGGACCTTACCCTTTTTTTTTTCAAGGATAAAATGGGTTAAAGTCACATATTTTCTAAGACTGGTATATGAAAGTTCTTATTCTCCTTTTGTTCGCTTGAAATAGATGATCTACATCTGCAATGTTGTTTCTAGTATGAACTTCACTTTTGTTGTGATTTACTCAGCGACTCGTAAAGTTTGGCTTACACGGGTGATTTTCTTGGCCAAAAGTTTTGCCTTGATATGTTGTATTTGGGACAGTCTTGGAGGACATGATCTGTTGTCCCAGGTGCACATGTACATACTGTTCCATGACATGAATTTTGTACCATATGTACACATGGCTGATTCAACAATCTTAAATTGTGTGTACATGAGGCTCCGAAGTTGACTGTGTCCTGTTCTAAGGCGTAACAGGGACAGTTGGTAGAGTAGTGCAAAATTATTTGGAAGCTGCAGAGATGTGGTTTTATAGATGGGTAAGAATAAGAATAACTTGCACAGATAAACAGAGTAATGAGGACGTCTTGAAAGAAACTGACTCACAAAGAGAACTAACTGCCCACATCAGAAAGAGACAATCTACATTTTTTGTTCATATCATAAGAAGGAGAAAACTGGAATGCATCATAACAGTGGGAAAGATAGAGAAAAGGAGAGGCAGAGGGAGACCAAGAGAGAAGATGCTCAACAGTTTGACATCACGGCATGGAGGATCATGTGTGTCAGAAGTGGCTAAAAGTACACAAGACAGAAGGTGGTGGACGGACATGACTACCAATGCCACACGGCATGGACTCGAAGAAGAAAAAGAAGAAGAGGAGGAGGAGGGAGAAGAAGAAGAAGAGTGTTAATAAACCCAAAACACATACCTGATCTGTTTTAAAGATGCAACTGGCAGGGTGATGTACCCACCATAGTCCACAAACTTCAGCTGTACCTCACCGTTTTCATCCACCGGGGACATGATCATCGCCCGGTACCAGTAGCCCTCACTTTCACACACACAAATAACACCGGCTGTGCAGAGAAAAAGACAATGATAGTGGACAGTGACAGAAAAATTCTGTTTACTACACTCCTTTCTTTTGAATTATTTGTTACTCTGTGCTAATTCTGGGGTTGAATCGGCAACACTTAAAAGACTACAAGAACTTCAGGTCAAAAGAGTTATCACCAAACATGAACACTATGCGGGTAGCCAAAGAAGAATAGTAAACCAACACAGAACTAATGTTATCAGTAGACATACACTGAGAGGTATACTGAAAATAGGATCTGAGTGCTCTAAGACTTGTCTGATGTGCAATGAAGATAATCTGTCAATTAACTAACTAGCTAACTAAGATTCTGGTGTGTTATTCTTGGGGAAAGATGGGGGAGGGGGGAGGGATAGACCCACTGCCTCCCTAACAAACATGTCATACAAGGCCACTAATTAGGGAGGCCTCCTTCAAAGTCGGAGTACATCTACCTGAGAGCCAACGAACCCACAGTTGCATTAAAAAACCAAACCCAGATCTATAAAACACAAAACTCAAGTTATGGAACAAATCTAAAATCCAGAAATGGGCAAAAGACTAGAATTTAAAAGGCAAAGTCCCATACCCAACTCCCAGAGGCAAAGTTCGATGCCCCCCACCCCCAAAGACAATGTGTTGCCCATGCATTATGATACCTCTCTCAGCTTGCCTTGTTTACTCCAAAAGCAATGTAACACCACTATATTTGAAACAAAGCATGCTGTTAAAAGCTGCCTGATGAGAAGAGCAGTGCCTTGTCTATCAGAGCTTTCTTCCTAGACCAGCTGCCAGCCAAAGCTAAGGGCCTGGTCTGCCTTGCTATCACAGTTTTCAAGTTGCACTTCCTCACCCTAGGGTAGCGCTGGTATCTGACCCCAATGCCTCCCTACACCTGGAGCCATCTGAACTGTCCAGGATGGTCACATGGAAAGGGGGGAGACTGATCCAAAACATCAAGAGACCTGCAAGTCTCAGCCATGCAGCAAAGGCTGGATAAGCCATTGAGGCCGCCCTCATAAGCTGATAAATAAATTCACTAGCAATCACTGAGGTCTACCTTGGTTGAACTCTTTCTCCACTCTTGTTCTATCTCAATATCTGTATCATTTATATAACAGTAGCAGCTGATATAAACATCTAAACAAATCAAAGCAACAATAATTATAAAAAATCTGAAATAAAACCCCAGCAAGGAAATCTGCATAAAAATTTTGAGAGCACGCATCTTCTCTGTAGCAACATACAAATGTGAGTCGTGGACTATCTCCCAATCCTTTTGATACTATATCCAGTTTCGTCCTTTTAGGACAAAGTTTTTTGTTATTTGAAGCCCCACCCTGGCTTTTGCCAGGGGCCGCAATATGGGCAGGCCATAAATATGGCCAATTGTCTGAACGCGGTTTCTGGGACCTCTCCGCGGCGATCCTCATCCACATGGTGGCACATTGTGTCAGTGGGTGTTTATCGCTTGTGTGATGTCCTGGTGGGGTAGAAAGTCAGTCAGTCCCAATCCTTAAGTAAAAGAATAGGGACATCTGAGCTAAAATGCTACAGAAAGATTCTCAGAAAACCATGGACAAAGAAAAGATGAAATACTGACACCTGAAAAGATCTGAACATCAAGGAAGATTGGCTAATAAACAGCCTCTGATCTTGAAAGCTGAAATATTTTGGTCATATCATGGCGGATTGGAAACAGTAATAGCAGAAGGTATGGTACCAGGAAGGAGGGGCAGGGGCTGACCAACATAAAGATGGGCACAGGATATGACTCCTTGAATATAAAAGTACACGAGGCGGGACCCGTAACATCAGTGGTTCTCAACCTGTGGGTCGTGACCCCTTTTTGGGGGGGCCGGACGACCCTTTCACAGAGGTCGCCAAAGACCATTGCATATTCCCTGAATACAACAAAAATAACTGTGTGTTTGGGAGTCACCACAAAATGAAGAACTATTAAAGGGCCACGGCATTAGGAAGGTTGAGAACCACTGTGCTACAGGATGATGAATCAAAAACAAAACCAAAAAAGACAACGTGCCAATCACTTACATTCTATGGGCAAGGGTACACTAGGAACGTTAGGATCCTGGGAGTAGACCAGGTTCAGGAAGTAGTTCATCTTCTCCAGGGACATGTAGGAGCGGTGTGTGGGCTGCTGAACAAATACCTGGCCGGCATCAACCACAGCTGACACAAACACATCCACCGACACCCCTTCAGGTAAGCTCAGCTAAAAGCATGGGAGGAAATACATTTGGAAAATAACTCGGGGCTCAAAAATAAAACATGAGGATTAATCAACATCTCTGGTCTGAGATGCAGCCAATCCGGCATCTCGGCCGGTTAAAAATCCCTGTAAAACCTCTAAACCGGTACTGTCACACTGGCCTGTCCCTGACAAGCCTAGTTAACTCTTTCAGTCCCAAGGAAGGTATCATACATTCATAGGTTCGCTGGTACTGTCTGCACCTGCACAGTGTTTAGGAGGACCGAGCTTGATTATATTTACTTTATCTGCTTCTACGTTCATGTAGATGATTTCGTGCCTCTTTACAACATTAGCAGCTTTCGTCACATTTAACTTCTGCAGGCATTTGATGCCTGAGTTCGTTTTCCCAGAATCATATTGACTAAAAATAGTACTGAATGTGGAGGGAGGCGGGGGGGGGGGGGGGGGGGGGGGGTCGCGGGGGGGGGGTGAAACGTGGGGGGGGGGGGTGGGGGGGGGTATGTGGTATGAAAAAAATGTTTTTTAATAGCATTCACGATATCATAATCAGCCTTTTGTCTGAGCAGTTGTCTTGTGACAGGGTGATTAGTGATTAGTGATTAGTGATTAGGGATTAGTGATTAGAAAGGATTTTCATCACAGCACTCCGGACAGATCCATTATTGCTCCGATCTCCTGCTCAAAAGCTCCACAAGTGTAAAATGACTGATGACGCCTGTTCTGTGTTGACAAATGAAAGTCTTGTTCCCTTAGTGAAATGTTTCCCATGTCTAACAGTCTAGGCAGGGATACAGAGTCATGTCCTTTGGCGTGCTCCTCGGTACGGTAAGTGCAGAGCATAGCATTAATAACATCACTTCCGTCCAGTACTGGACCAGCCATTGCAACCGCAGTGTCAGCAAGATAGTCTGCACGCTCGTTCCCTTGAACACCCGCATGACCTGGCACAAAGATGAAGTTTAGGGCAGCTATTCGTAAAGTGCTTGGTGTTGCAATCCACTCTTGCCTAATAAATCCAGCTTGGATTTTTTTTAAGCATATTCATCGAGTCACTAAGAATGCATACGTGTCTGAACTTCTAAGTACCAAGCCATGCTAAAGCCCTTGTTACAGCCATAGTTTATATTGTAAGGCTACTAGTTAAAACAGCAAATGCAACAGGGTAACAGGATTTAACATAAATTTTATATTGTATTGAAATAAAATGCTAACAAATTTGTTAATGGCCAGTGCAAAAATAATTGTTTTTTTTTTTTTTTTTTTGTTAAAGGCTATTTTGTGGAATTCACAGATTAAAAACTTTTTCACTCTTAAGGGTTTTCAGGACAAAATGATCAAAGCTGCGGGGACTGAATTTTGTCTTGATTATTTTCATCATCATAGTCTCATGGGAGCTGGACTGAATTTTGTCTTGATTATTTTCATCATCATAGTCTCATGGGAGCTGCCATGGTGTAGTGGCTAGATGCAACTGCAGATCCAAAAAGGTACCAGGTAAAGTTCTGGGAATTAAAGGCGGCCATCACGATGCTGGCCATATCCCCCCAACAAGTGCCGAATGATCCTTAAAATATAGGTCAAGCCCTACATGCCAGATGTGCCTAAAGGTGCGGAAAACTGGAAAATGGTCAGCTACTTTACTTTTACATCATAGCCCCCATGAGATGACGTGTCACTGGGTCACAAGCTGCTGTTGGCTGATCGGTGTATCTGTCAGAAACAATGGATTTCCTGTATGTTTCAGGCCTGTCCAGACAACCAAATTCGGTATCTCAGTATGTTCTAGACTGTCTTCCCCTCGACCCTCAAACTAGATGTTGTGGTGTCATATGCCAGGCCTTGTTGTACGTCCATTCACTTTTGCTATGTTGGTTGGTTTTTGTAGCCACTGTTTTTACAGAATGAGGTAGCCAACCACAAGCCCCTATCTTATCCCTAGTTGCCTCTTACAACATGCCTGGTAAGGTGCAATGTTATCATTCTCTGCTTGCCGCTGGGGCCCCGGTAACACACCTTAAATTACTCTCTCTTTACTACATTCTAATTAAGGAGCAGTGGATCTATTCTGAACATCAAGGAAGATTGGCTAATAAACAGCATCTTGTCTCAGAAGCAGAAATATTTTGGTCATATCAAGCGCATGGCGGATTAGACAAAATAATTGCAGAAGGCATGGTACCTTGAAGGAGGGGCAGGGACCGACCGAAGATGGGCAAAGAATATAAGTGACTCCTTCAATATGAAAGAACATGAGGCAGGAGAGCTGGTGAGAAATCAAGCTTCTTTCAGGCATATTGTGATGAGAGCGACGTTCTGCAAAGAACCTGCTACATGATAATGATGATGATAGTTTGTTGAATACATTATAACTTCCTTTTGTATAGTATAGTCTGTTCAATAGTATAGTTTTCTTTTGAATGGTGTAGTTTGTTCAGTATGATATTTTTTAAAATATGGTATATAGTTTGTTCACTGTGATGTAGATTTTTTAAAAATATGGTATAGTTTGTTAACTGTGATGTAGATTTTTTTTAAATGTGGTATAGTTTGTTAACTGTGATGTAGATTTTTTTTTTAATATGGTATAGTTTGTTCACTATGATATAGTTTTCTTTTACTGCTATAATATGGATGCATCCAATCCCGCTCCACTCTCTCCCAAAATGGAGTCCACAGAGGGATAAAGAAGAATTTGTTCACCTGCATAGCCTCTGGATACACGACTTGACCGTCTGGTACCAGAGGAAGTGGCATGGACATGTCCACTGGGTCCATAGTCAAGTGTGGGTAGTCCTGCAGTGGGAACTTCCTTCTGATCATGGACAGAGCATCGTCAACCTCAGCCTGGGTTCCTGCATGAGCGAAACTTTGTATTAGCCATAACATTTACACAAAATAATAATAATATTCACCATCATATATATAGAGCAGAGGCTGGCCAAATGGTTAAGGATGCAGGTCTCTCATGCAGAAGACCCGTGTTTGAATATTCAGTAAGGTTATGGATTATATCTGTGGGGGGCCCAAATAGAACCCTAGCCTGCAGTCCGAGGCAGCTTCATGTGACCTTAAATCATCAGGCTCAAAGACCTCCCCGACAACACCACATAATTGGTAAATACAGCCAATAAAGGTATTTTTTGGGGGTCAGTAATCTATAAAGCATAAGTTTAGATCGCTGTGTACTGTTATGGCTATTACTAAAATTGTCCTGATAATATGAATAAAAGAAAAGTTCACATATGATAATATGTATAAGGTACAGTGTGAACATGGTAATATGTATGAGGTATATTTTGCTTGTGATAATATGCATAAGGTATAGTTTGCATACCCCCCCCCCCCCCCCCCCCCCCCCCCCCAACATGTATACAGAATAGTTTACACTGTGCATCAGAGATATTATTATTCTTAACTTCCCCTGCCTGTAAACTCTGGTGGAAAGTTCTGGTTGTTCATCCACTTCTGGCCTTTAGTCTTGTTCCAGAACAGGAGTTTTGCCTGTACATCTATTTTTACACACCTGGCTTAATAGTATGCACATTGTTGGTTCTTCACTTATCAGATATATGCACTCTGAATTCAAAGGGAACTCCCTAAGTAGTCACATTATGAGGAGCCATACAGGAACCCATACAGGAAACAATAGACATATGATGCTAGATCCACGTTTTCATTAAGCATTCTGTGGGTCAGCAACAGGCCAGGATGTACCAATTTTAGGTTGGATTGATCTGAGAGCTAAGGTCAATTTTTTTTTTTCAGTCTCAGTGCAGATCTGAACCCAAGACCATAAGGCAGGGAAGCATTTAGCCACTACATTATCGCAGCTACCACAGTTTATATACTTTCTCAAATATGTATGGTGTGAAATGTCCCATTATTCTGATCCAATCCCCCCACTGATTTCTGATTTAGCCACATTGCTGGGAGCCACCGTGGTCTAGCCATTAGATGCTCACCTACGGATAGGAAGGTAATGGGTTCGGGTCCTGGCGGGGAGGGAGGCCCCTGACTTTTTTTCAAAAATGACCTTGGCTTCCAGGTCGATGCAGTCTTGAGTGGGTACCAGGTGCAGTCCTGGAAAGTAAAGGCGACCAGTATGATGCTGACCACATCACCCACCAAGTTCTGTTTGGTCTATAAAATATAGGTCTAGCCCTGAAAGGCACAGGAAAAGGGTCCTTTTTACTAGTTCTTTACGGATTTGTGCCATGTACTTTGTCAGTGGCAAAATAAAATACTCACCTGCACAGTTGTGGCCACAGCACTAGCCATGCAGCCGTAAAAAATCCTCAGGTACAAAGACCACTCTGCCTACACCACAAAAGGTGAGTATAATAAGGGTAGTTTTGGCCATGTACTTTCTTATGTCAATATTTTTGACAGGTTTGTTTAATATTTCTGTACATATTCCATACAATTCTTCCCCATTTTGTTGTTTTTGTTCTCTTTCATCTGTCATCTGATCAATGTCATTTATCTATTTCTTAACTCATACGTTCATAGGTTCTTACCTAGAAGCCCAATGAACACATGGTGAGTCTATTTTAGTCTCTCTTTACTACCCATTGGGCCTGTGATGCTAAACCTCCTGGGACTCAAAGAGTTAATACAGATCAAAAGTCCACCCCCCCCCCCCCCCCTTACTTACCCACAATTTGGCAGATCTGGTATTCCGGCGTAAAAGCGTTACTGGTCAAGGTCACATGAGCTCCACTTCTGCTTTTCAGGTAGTTGATATTCTTGCCGTGTTTGCCAATGAACTGGCCACACAGATCTGAAGGCATGCAGAAGTTAAAGTGCACTGGGACATCCCCTCCTTGGCAAACCATATCGTGCTCGCTTCCTCCGCGGCCACTATCATTAGATCCCTGTAGACGAACAAGAGTGTATCAACAAATAGTATTCAAACATCTCTGTGCTTGCATCTGCATTACCAGGGTCTAAAACGGAAGCAAAGAACAGTAACAAGTATGAGAATACTTTAAATGAAAATTTTCAGAGCAGCGATCTCAACCTGTGGGCCGCATAAGACCAATGGAAAACACATATTCACTGTAGCTATGAAATAGCAACGAAAATAATTTAATGGTTGGGGGTCACCACAACATGAGGAACTGCATTAAAGGGTCGCAGCATTAGAAAAGTTTGGAACCAAGGCTTTAGAGCGTAACAGAAATTACAAAAACTATGCCACTGTCTTGTAACATGTCAAATTGTTGTCAAGAATGTCAAAAGGTTGAGCATGTGATATCACAGTGAAGACACACAGTGTGATGTAATAACGACAGTTTAAAGATGCAACAAAGAGGATCAGCAATCTGTTATCTGTTTTTGATCAGCAAAGGGGTGAAACCATAAAGAAATTATTTACCTTACCAGTAAGGTGATGCGTGTCTGTCAGCCCAGCAGTCTGCAGTTTTTTTATATTAGGACTTCAGTGGCTGCAATCGACTAGGAGGGTCATTATTCAGTGTGTCCGACCCAGTCGTTAATAATCTGTCACAGAAGGTATGCTGTTTTGAAACTACCTACTCCATTCATTTACACTCTGGACTGACATCGCCATGACAAGAAACTTTGGGATCCAGCGCTTTCTGGGTAGAACCAGCTACTGTCATTCCATGACATATATCTTTCTTCTTCTTCATATTTACCGGCTGTAAACTCTGGTCCCCTTCTGGACTCTAGTCCTGTTCCAGAACCTGAGTTACTGAGGTACCTGGTTATCACTTTTAATAGAAGCCTGTTCTTCAGGGATCAGGTGGAGGCAGATAAATGCTAAAAAGCACTCAATGCACTTAAAGTTATGGCAGCAATGGTCATAGAACAAAGAAGCTGTTCACAAGTTCCAGCATGCGATCCACTCGGTGATAGATTATGGACTTGGAATGCTTACTGTATCAAAGATGCTGATGCTGATGAAACTTCAACACATAAAGAATGAAGCCATGGGGGTCTTCTTCTTCTTTTGTCATCTCACTATTACCAGGTTGTGGCCCAGTGTCGTGATTTTCTGCATCTGTTTTGAGTTTCTCGGGTTGATCGAGTGATAGATTTGTTCAACCTTTTGCAGGTTTCTGCTACAACATTTATCCATGTCATTCTTGGTCTTCCTCTCGCCTTCCTCCCAGATTTTCTACTGTAAAAAGTCTCATATGCAGTCTTGGTCTGGCTGCATTCTGACTAGATGGCAGAACTATTTAATTCAATGTCAATATAATCCAGACATGGTCTTATTCCAGCTTTCTCTCTAACGCTGGTATTCGTAACCCTGTCTTGTATTGTGTTGTTAGTGACCTTGAGCAGACAGCGCATGTCACATGTAGTTCATTTCTGTTCTAGTGCCCTATTCAGTGTCCATGTTTGCCACTGAAAACATAAAGTAGGGATCAAGATGCTATTAATCATTTGCTGTTTTTGCTGGAAGGGAGACATTGAGGTTTCAAAGCAGTGGGGCTAACTGGTTGGTGACAGCATTTACCTTCTGTACTCTGGCTTCTATCTCTCTTTCGGGTCAGCCATGCAGGTAATTCTGGGATTAACAAGAGATACGCCGGTAGTATGTATGTGATATATACTTGCATTGCCTACATTTGCAGATAGGCTCAAAGTGCTGCAAGCTAAGTCGCATCTCAGAGTAGCTGCAGACAAGAAGCAACTTCTGCATGGAGCCCTACGTAGAGCTAAATAAAGGTCACAGACTAAAAAGAGGAAGGTCCTGGATTGCGCAAGCAAGCAAGCAAGCTGAAGACACAATCAGACATGTGTGATAACATGGGGTGAGAGGAGAAGTGGGTCTAGTGTCCCAGCAAGCAAGAGTCAGACGTGTAGGGTTGTGGTCACATTGGGCCATAACTGCAGGGACTGGCCAGCTGCAGAATCAAAAGTTCAATGACTCATGACAATTCTTGCCCAGGTGATGTGACTATCTATACAAATGGCTCTGTGTTGAGGGGCAAATGAAGTTCATGGGGGTTCTCAGCAAAAGCTAATGGACATTGCTTGGTGCAAAAAAGCCAAGCATTTGACATCACAACATCTAGTTTGAGAATGGAGGTGGAAGCAACCACTCCAATCTTCCACTTGCTTGAGAATCAGCTGTTAACACATGTGTAACTGTAAACAACTCACAGAGCAATGCCGAGAAAGGTGGAGACTGGTATACTCCATAAAGAGTGCCATCATTGCTCCGGAGGTCCTGGGTATTTAGCATCTTAGGTATATTGTTTCCAGAATATAACGGTGTATCAGGAAATGAACAGGCAAGTAGACTGGCTGGTTCTGCACAACCTGGTGGTGAACTTATGAATACCAAGCTAGATGTCGTAGAAGCCTTTAGGGACAAGTAAACAGTGCACAGACATGATCCAAAGAATACTGGGATGCGAGGAGTGACCAGGGGAATCTCACCTCAACACTGAGGGAAAAGGCAGGACGGATATACAACCAGACTGTTTCTGGTGCCATGGGAATTGGAACTCTGCCCCTGATGCTGAAGGTGGGGACAGACAGCTTATGGAAATGTCCCAAGTGTTGTGATGTCAATTCTTAATTATACATTAAACCCCAAGTGTTTTTGCATGCACACCTGTTTCACAGATGTAACTCATTGTTCAATTTTTAATTCATCTTTATTGCACACAGGACATGAACCATAAGTGCTTTGATCTCCTCCTGAGTGTTTTTAGGCTAATAACTCCTATTCTGTTCTGGCTGTTTTAACTAATTTGCATGCAGACTGCTGGTTCCTTGCCTCTCAGGCAGATGCACCCTGACTTCAAAGTAAGTCAGCTTACGGGTAGGCAGTGTGCATATAGGCTGTATGGGCTCATTTATGTATTGTGCATCATGTACCGTGCTGTGTACGGGGTCTGTGCCTTTCTTGTGGCCATTTCTCTTGATTTTCTTCTTCATGTCCACCGGCTATTAACTCTGGCACAAAGTTCTGGGTGATCGTCCACTTCTGGACTTTAGTCTTATTCCACAATTTGAGTTTTGCATGCACATGGATTTTACAGATTTGGCTGATTTGTACGCAGACTACTGATTCCTTGCCTCTCAGGCAGGCAGATGTACTCTGACTTCGAAGGAAAACCCTAATAAGTTGACTCCTGAGACACTGCTGGAGAGGCAATGGGTCTATTCTTGTTGTTCCCCACATCCAGGCTCCGGAACTCTCACCAGCACTTCTGGCCTCTCTCACTAGCACTTCTAGCCTCTCTCCCCAGCACTTATGGCCTCTATCACCAGCACTTCTGGCCTCTATCACCAGCACTTCTGGCCTCTCTCCCCAGCACTTCTGGCCTCTCTCCCCAGCACTTCTGCCTCTCTCCCCAGCACTTCTGGCCTCTTTCCCCAGTACTCATCTTATTGTTTCTTTTGGTCATTCTCCTTTTCTCAATACATCTGATCTCATTTAACTCTTTGAGTCCCAGGGGGTTTAGCATCACAGGCCCAGGGGGTAGTAAAGAGAGTCATAAAATCGGCGCATCATGCATTCATTGGACTTCTAGGTAAAAGCTTATGAACGTATGATACGTTTCTTGGGACTCAAAGAGTTAAGTGCCTATTTCTCTTCTTTGTATTTTAACTATTACCAGTAATTGTCAGGACATTTCTATTATTTCTTCACTTTTAGTGAAATCATCCATGTAAGGTTCATCAATCTGTTGCACTTGGTTCTGAACACATTTAGCTTTTCTTCCTTGTCTGTGTATACCAAGATTTTTAATGTAAGCATGTAATCACTAACTATGGCATCCGTCAGTCCCGGGGGACTATGGAGATGTGCCGCTGGCTTTGGGAACAGCATCTGCTGTGGCTGTAAAGTCCGATGCAGGAATGGCAGTCTTTGCCACACAGGATACACACAAAAGTAGAAACTCTCTCGTTGTGAGGCAGTTTTACTCTCCGGTGTCTTCTCTCCACAGCTCGTTGTGTTAGATTTCTTTCAAAATGTGACAGTCCGTCTTTCACTTTCTGTCTCAATAGTAGTCGATCTGCAGCTGATTTTTCCCATGTCTCTGTGCCTATGTTGGTATCTATTAGGTCACGTTTGTATACATCTTTATAGCGCAGCTTAGGCCTTCCTGTAGGTCTATTCCCAGTTACCAATTCACCATATAGGAGATCTTTTGGAATACGACCATCCTCCATGCGGGAGACATGTCCCAGCCAGCGCAGACGTCTTTGCTTCAGTATACAATACATTGATGGTATTTTTGCTCTTGTGAGCACATATTCGTTGGAGACAAGGTCTCGCCATAATATACCAAGGATGCGTCTCAGACAGCGCATATGGAAGGTATTCAGTCTTTTTTCCTGTGGAGCATAGAGAGTCCATGATTCGCAGCCGTACATTCCTTCATTTCATTTTCTACTGTCCTTCTCTAGGTTTCCTTGTTGTTGTTATCGATCCAGTGGCACATGAGCTTTCACCCTTTGGCCCAATGCCATGTAGTGGAATTTGCATGTTTTCACAAGCTGTTCTTTTCCTCCGTACAAGGTGTTACACTTGTCTAGGTTTCCTTAGGTCGTCCACGTCTCCTTTTCCCATCTGCTGTCCCCCGGAGGGCTGTTTTTGCCAAACTGTCAAAACGCATTCTGCAAACATGTCCAAGCCATCTCCATCGTCTTACTTTGATAACATTTGCCAGTAGTGCACATTCTGTTTTCATCCTCAGTTCTTCATTTGTGATCTTGTTTGGAAAAAATATTTGACTACTGACTAGGGATTCACTTTTTATTCTAGTGCTCTACATGACCCAGACAGGCAGGCACAGATTAGTAGACAGGTATGTAGGTAAATATATAAGCAGGTAGATAGGTGGGCGGGTAAGGTAGGCACACAGAGAGACAAATGTACCGGTCAGTTATATTACCAATAAAAAGAAAAGTTACATACCTCGCTGTTATTATCACACACGGGAGAAATAGACTTGCCAAGGGCACCATCTTTCACATTTGGATCAGAAACATCACAGCTTGTATCACTCACACTCCCAGAACTGGCTGCCTCAGCAACATTGTCCTTACCCCCCAAGCTGACTCTTGCAGGTACCTCTAGCTGAGCACCCAAATCCCCCTTCGCCACACCTTTCTCATCCACATGCGCAGCCACAGGTTCAGTGTCCAGAAAGGTCAACTCTGCATCCAGATTCATCATGGAGGACTCGATGCCCCAAAGGGCCTCAATTTCCTCTGGCCCAAAGCTGTCCACGCTGGAAGATGAGGCTTTGGGCAGCCAGGAAAATGCCTTGCGAGCCTCCATCTTCTCAGAGGGCAGATTCTGGATGCTTGTGTCACTAGAAGTACCTTTATTCTGTACGGTTTTTACTGAGACATCCTTTGTGTGTGCATCATTGTTGCTGGCTGTTGATGAACTGTTGTCCTTGCTAAGATCTTTGTTGTGCTGTTCACTCTGTGTCACGTCTCTGACCGGGTTGTCCTGAAGGAGGTCTTCACCGGCAGTAGGTACATGTGGCAGAGAGCCTGTAGATAGAGAAAAATTTGAGCCAGGCTTTACTGGGATCAACGTTTCCTGCACCAATTGTATCCTTTCCTGAATTACTGCAGGGTTTACGTTCTCAAAGTCACGGTCGCTGACAGCTAACTCCAAAGTTTCAGTACCTGCTGAAGCCAAAAATTCCCTGTCAGCTGATGTCAAAGATTCAGTGTTAGAAGACTGCAGAGGTCCAAGACTGGTTGGCTCCAAAGATTCAGTGCTTGCTGACACCAAAGATTCAGTGCTGGCTGACTCCAAAGATTCAGTCTCTGCTGCAGTGTTAGCTGACTCCAAAGATTCAGTTACAGCTGCAGTGTTGAATGACTCCAAAGATTCGGTCATGGCTGGTTCTAAAGATTTAGTTTTAATGGAATCCAAAGATGCAATGCTGGCTGAGTCCAATGATTCAGTGTTAGCTGGCTTCAAAGATTCAGTGGTGGCTGGTTCCAAAGATTCAGTTTTAGCCATTTCTGATGATTCAGTATTGGCTGACTTCAAAGATTCTGTGTTAGCTGAGTGCAGAGGCCCAATATTGATTGCCTCCAGAGACTCAAAACTGGCCGACACCAAAGATTCAGTGTCAGTCGACTCCAAAGATTCAGTATCAGCTGCAGTGTTAAATGACTCCAATGATTTGGTCATTGCTGGTTCTAAAGATTCAGTTTTAACGGACTCTAAAGATTCAAAGTTGGCTGGGTCCAATGATTCAGTGTTAGCTGGCTTCAAAGATTCAGTGGTGACTTGTTCCGAAGATTCTGTGGTGACTTGTTCCAAAGATTCAGTGGTGACTTGTTCTGAAGATTCTGTGGTGACTTGTTCCAAAGATTCAGTGGTGACTTGTTCCAAAGATTCAGTGGTGACTTGTTCCAAAGATTCAGTGGTGACTTGTTCCAAAGATTCAGTGGTGACTTGTTCCAAAGATTCAGTGGTGACTTGTTCCAAAGATTCAGTGGTGACTTGTTCCGAAGATTCTGTGGTTGCTAGTTCCAAAGATTCAGCCGACTCTAAACAAACATTTGCAGTTGAAATAAAAAGCTCATTACATGGTGACTCCAAAAGCTTAGCACTAGCCGATCCCAAAGACTCAGTATTATGTGACGCTGAAGATTCAGGAACTGTTGCCTCAATCTCAAGGCAAACCAGATCTTCATTTATCTCAGCATATGACTGAACCCCAGCTGTCTCTTCTGACTGTAAATCACATGTAGGTCCTGTGATGTCTTGGTCATCTTCTTGCATATCATCCACAATCAGACCACTTTTACCATCTGAACCTCCACACTTTTCCACACGATGTCCTGTTTCTCCGGAGACATCTGCTGATCCACTTCTGGAGGCATCATCTAGGATGGCTGCCTTGACTGACATTTGCTTGACTGAAGATTCTGACTGAGCAGGTGACTTGTGAAGCAGCCTGCAAGCTTCTTCCAGCCCGTCTCCCATTGCAGTCATGACCTGCTGCTCAATGTACGCTTTCTGTAAGGTGGTCAAGCAATCCCCCTGGTCAAACTCTGCAATGATGGCATTGCTCAGCCCAATAGGCATTGCTGCATCCAAAGAAATCTGGCTTCCGAACTCACTATCCTGTGTGTTGTCTGAGGACATCATACTATCACACTGGTCATCCTGCTGGACAATTAATGACATTAGGCTTTCACAGTTGCTTTCCAACTGGCCATATGATGACCAGAGGCTCTCATACTGGCTATCTTGCTGACCACTGGAGGATATCAAACTATCATAGTGGGCATCTGATGCTACCAGATCATCTTCCTGTAGATCATCTGATACAACTGAAGGACTGCTCTGGACATCAAGCTGGTGATCCACATCATCTTCTTGTGAGACTCCCGATGCCTTTTGGAGCTCTGATGCAACTGAAGGACTCATTTGATCTTGTTGCTGGACATCCCAATGATTGTCCAGACCATCTACCCGTTGAACCTCTAATGCAATTAAAGGACTGCTCTGATCATGTCCCTGGACATCAATCTGATGATCCAGATCAGTTTCTGGTGAGACGTCTGATGCTTGTCGGACCTCTGATGCAACTGAAGGACTGCTCTGATCAAGTTGCTGGACACCACGCTGTTCATCCAGACCATCTACCAGTTGAACCTCTGATGCAACTGAAGGACTGCTCTGATCAAGTTGCTGGACACCACGCTGTTCATCCAGACCATCTACCTGTTGGACCTCTGATGCAAATGAAGTACTGCTCTGATCAAGCTGCTGGACACCAAGCTGTTCATCCAGACCATCTACCAGTTGGACCTCTGATGCAAATGAAGTACTGCTCTGATCAAGTTGCTGGACACCACGCTGTTCATCCAGACCATCTACCTGTTGAACCTCTGACGCAACTGAAGTACTGCTCTGATTATGTCCCTGGACACCACGCTGTTCTTCTAGACCATCATCTTGCTTAGCTTCTGATACAGTTGAATGACTGCTTTGATCGTGTTTATGGAAATCATGCTGTTCATCGAAACCAACTTCCTGCTGGAACACTGCTGCAACTGAATGACTGCTTTGATCTTGTTTATGTACATCATGCTCTTCATCCAGACCAGCATCTTGCTCAGCTTCTGATACAGTTGAATGACTGCTTTGATCACATTTATGGAAATCATGCTGTTTATCAAAACCAACTTCCTGCTGGAAGACTGCTGCTACTGAAGGACTACTTTGGTAACACTGCTGGACATCTGGAGTGGTACCAAACAACGCCAAACTACTACCATCATTTTTAATAACCTGTGATGTCAAGGTACCACACTGATCCTCCTCAGCTGCATCTGACAACACCAAACCACCGTGCTGGCCCTCTTGGGAAACATCTGATGACACCAAACCACCATCAAACTCCTTACCATGAATTTTACTTTCTGGCAACAGACCATCACCTTGACCATGCTCTGTGATATCATATGACTGACTGTTCTTATCAACTACTGCAGACGGCAAACCTTTCCCCTCCACACAAGTCTCAACACCCATTATCTTCACACCATCACTTAGGGTAGTCTGAGCATCTGAAACTGCCATAGCCAAGTCACAGCCGGTTATACTGGACACCGCCAAGTCACAGCCGGTTATACTGGACACAGCCATACTGTCAAATTGTTCAGGCTGAATTAAACCTGTAGGAACAAAGTTATTCACCTGCCAATTCTGGCACACACTGTCTGACACCACCACATTCTCCACCTGGCCATGCTGTTCAATTTCCGCCACAGGCCCATCCCACAGGTGTGGCTCATTAAAATGTCTGTAAGACCCCACATCAGGCTTCTTTCCTAAACCCAGCGCCACTTGACCCACTGACAACTCTGGTGAACAGAGTGACTCCAGTTGCAAACTACCAGTACCGGAATCACAAATCAAACTTTCTGATAACTTTCCCTGAGGGCCTATCCCTCCCACAGTCTGTCTATTTTCAATCTGTTCATCACAAAAGCCTGAAAAGTTGTCTGATTCGGCTGCACCCTCATTCTCTTCTTGCACACCTTTGTCTGTGCTCTTCTTTCCATCCCCTGAGCCTGCCTTTCTTCGCAGAAGCCAAAACACACCTACAAGACCAATGGCTGCTGGTATAGTCACTGCAGCTGGTAGGCGTAAGTCCTTCATGTCTGCAAAGAGGTCTTGCAGACTAACTGGCAAGAAAATCTGAAACACAACCGGAACATACATTATTTATAGTACAAGCAAAAATAGTTTCTCATCTAAACATTCTTTATACTGCAAGCACAAATAGTGTCCATATAGACATACTTTACACTGTAAGCACAAATAGTGTCTTTAAAGACCTTCTTTACACTGTAAGAACAGTTTCCATACAGACATTCTTTGCACTGTAAAACTGTCCATATAGACATTCTTTACACTGTAAACAAAAACAGTTTCTCATCTAGATGTTTACAAGCAAAATTGCGTCTCTCAGTATTTACACCACCACTAATAAATAGTCTTTCATTTAGACATTATTTACACAACAAGCAAAATTTTATCTCTCACTATTTACACCACCACTAACAAAGGTCTTTCATCTAGTCATTATTTACACTACAAGCAAGAACAGTTATCTTCCAGTTGCGATTTACACGACAAGAAAGAACAGTTATCTTCTAGTTGCGATTTACACGACAAGCAAGAACAGTTACACTTTCTAGGACAAGCAAGAACAGTTACACTTTCTAGGACAAGCAAGAACAGTTACACTTTCTAGGACAAGCAAGAACAGTTACACTTTCTAGGACAAGCAAGAACAGTTACACTTTCTAGGACAAGCAAGAACAGTTATACTTTCTAGGACAAACAAGAACAGTTACACTTTCTAGTTGGGTTTTACATGGCAAGCAAGAACATTTTTGGCTTTCTAGGGACAGCTTCTAAACGTAAAGCCTGGCAAACAAAAGCAGCAGCCACCTATAACTGAAAGTACTACTACACTGAAGCTAAAAGTGCTATTACACTGAAAAACTCAAAGTACTAATTATTATTTGATGCTTTAACCCTATCGCTACACGAATGCTAACATACAATGAGTCAAATTCTTAGGAAAAAACATTACTACACTAATAAATTGTTTAAAAATTTATTTATCTACATTAAATGAAATCCAAATATTTAAAGATATATAAAGGGATTACAAAAAAAAACCACACAAAAAAAACAGCAGAGTGAAGCATTACATAGAACACATTCTCTGGGGTCTAAAAATGAATGACTTATGTGTGGTCTGATATCCTCAAATGGTCAGCAAGATAGCCAGGCATCAGAAGTCTCACAAGAAGATGATCTGGATCACCAGATTGGTTTCCCCCCCCCCCCCCCCACAGTGGGGCCCCGGAACCCACAAGGGGAACAACTGGAAGTAACGATTGAGTCGACATGGTTAAATGTAACTTTAGTCCCCAACAGCAGACACTACTATTGTGAAGTGTTCGGCCGTCACATATTCTAGGTCATGTCACATGAGGCAGGATGACCTGTTCCCATCCTCACAACTTTACACTGGAACACGCAGGGGCACAGAAATAAAGGCAGATCAACAAAAAAGGATGAAGGAAACTGGAGTGAAGTTAAAAAAGATCGGAAGGACATGGTGTGAGCTGCCTGTGATGGAAAGGACACAACCACTTGATGTGTGAGCTGGCTGAAAACCCTCATCCTATCTATGGATAGATGCAGGAGAGATGAGCTCCACCAAAGGACAAATGCAGGCCAAATCAGTTTTAACCATTATTAAAGTTGCATAAGGTAATATGGTCAAACACATATCATTTGGTATCCATTTCCCCATTTCTATGGAATATTAAAGGGTAATAGGTGCTGCAGGATTACTGTTTAAATGATTAATAAACTATTAATCATGGTAACCTCTCAGACGTGAGAATCATGACAAAGGCACCATCACCCTCAGCACCATTCAATCTTTAATGTTAATTACTCAGTAATCTTCTCTCAATGCATATTTCACAGTGATAGTAAACAGCTGCAAGACCACATAAACCTACTACACGACAGTTGCCTCAAGCATCATATGAAGATCAATACTGAAAAGACAGAAGTCATGAGCATAAGTAGAGAGCAACAGACCATCGACATAAAGATTCTAGATCACAGCCTGAAACAAGTGCAAGAATTTAAATACTTAGGAAGTATCTTTACATTCAATGGTAAAATAGACAGAGAGATCGAAGCAAGAATCCAACAAAGCCAACAATGTCGCATACCAGCTTGCCCCAATTTTAAAACACCCTGCTGTCCCAGCTGAGATAAAAAGACAAATTATAAATACAATCTTTATACCGACATTAGGTTATCAATGTCACACTTGGACATTAACAAAAGAACACGAGAGAAGACTAACCACCTGTGAAATGAGATGTTTGAGAATAGTTGCGAATAAAACCAGAAGAGATCGAGTGAGAAACGATGTGATTACAAGAACTATTGGAACCATACCCATCGTTAAATTATTGAGAAGCAAAGAATGAAATGGTTTGGTCACCTAATGAGAATGGAACCAACGATGCCAGCATCAAGAGTATACAACATGAAAATCGAAACACCAAGAAGCAGGGGAAGACCAAAAAGAAGATGGATTAAAGGAGTCACAGACAACTTGAGACTTCATAACATCACGGCATATGAAGCGACTGAGCGCGCCCTGGCTGGGTTGCCGATCATCTGATAGACTGCGACGCCTAGCGGCACAAGCAGATTTTGACAAAAGAAGAAGTAATAATCTTCTCTAAACTGTTGTAATACACTCTAAAACTACTAATTACTATTAATGCCATTATTTTCTACATAATATTTTCATTTTCACATTGTTGGGGAGGGGAGGGCTGTGTGGTCTCGAAGCATGTTGTCCGCCTCGAGTGCTAGAGGTTCCAGGTTCAATTCCCGGCAAGGGCTGGGATTTTGTTCATGTGAACTTGGACTTCTAGTAATTCCCCTGATCTCTGGGTAGCGAGATTTGACGCCCGTGTGTATTGTTGCGCACGTTAAAAATCCCCTGACAGTTGGGAATCAGTTGGATCTTCGCAGGTGCTACAGAGCCTGTGGACTGTGCTGAGCTTCGTCGGACTCAGGCTTGAGTTAGAAGAAGAAAGGTGCACTAATGGGTTACCCGTGTGCCATGATGTGATCTGTTGCTCAACCCTTTCACATTGTTTTACCCATTATAATTTATTTTCATCATCATTATCTTTATCAGCATTACCCATCTAATCCTAAGTAATTGTCATCATTTTCTCAAACACTACCAGAATTATCATTGCATAATTGTCTTTAACATTACTACCAATATTATCAACATCTTGTTATTAATCATTATTTCAACTTTAAGGTCCACGTTCTTTTTTTCAATGCTTAGTCAGAAAAGTTCTACATTAGATCTGGAGTGAGACGGGTGCGTTCCATAAGACGAAGGATTTTACATATCTTACATGGAAATTTTACATAGAAAGCATTTTTTCAGAAGATAAAAGAATTCATTAAGAAATCCATCAAAGATGCGAAAAAGCCAATCAAGTTTTAGGCCAAATGGCACCAATTTGAAAATGCAAGCACGTGAATACGACAAAAACACTGTTCAACACAATATTCTTAACAATGCTAAGCTATCAGTGTCAAACATAGGACACCGTTTAAGAAGACAGAAGGAAAATAGTCATGATAAATTAAATGTTTACAAACTATGCTTGGTGTAACAAGGAAAGATCGACTTAACACTTTGAGTCCCAGGGGGTTTAGCATCAGAGGCCCAAGGAGTAGTTAAGAGAGAGGTAAAATCGGTGCGTCTTGCATTTACTGGGCCTCTAGGTTGGAACCTATAAACATATGATGTGTTGCTTGGGACTCAAAGAGTTAAGAACGATGACATCAGGAGGAGAGTCGGCACAGAACCAATACTGAACTTTATGGGTTGACAACAAATCAAATGGTTTGGCCATGTAACAGGACGGGCATCAGACAGGGCACCACAGACAGCAAAATTATACAGATACAGTGAAAACAGGGAGTTGCCATGGCGTAGCAGCTAGACGCTTGTGTGCAGACCGGAATGTCGTGGGATCGCTCCCTGACAAAGCAGGACTTTTTTTTTAAATGACATTGACTCCCAGGCCGACACAGCCTTGAGTAGGTACCCGGTGCAGTCCCGGGAAGTAAAGGCGGACAGCCTGATGCTGGCCACATCACCCATCTTGTGCCGACTGGTCCATAAATATATAGG